GGGAGAGCGACTGGGGAATCGGGGAGCAGGCGCGCGGCGGCCCTTCTGGGCAGGAGCGGGGAGCGCAGCGGCCGGCACCTCTGGCGCTTGGGGCCCCCTCCCTCCACGTTCCGGCCGCGCGTGGACTACCCTTCCGCGCTCCTCCGGAGGAAAGCCACTGACCTTGCACGCTGGGCGCTTCAAAGTTCCAAGTGCGAGAGGGCCGAGGCCGAGATGCCATTGGTGCGACCTGCGGGCGGTGGGGCCAGAGCGAGAGGAAGAGAAGGGAGAGCTGGGGGCGCAGAGTTCTGGGCGCGCACTCGCGATCGGGACCCCCTCTCCCTCGTGGTTTTGGGACAATGACCCGGGGTCCCTCTTGGAGAGATACTGAGGTGTCCGCAGAGGCCTAAGGCCCAGTTTTATGCAGTCCCTTCTTCTTTGAAAGGAGGTTCAGACAATGTGCATTTCTCCCCTCCATGTTTATTAAAACCCCAACGAAAAAGTTATAAAGTGTTGAGCCCATATTTAAAATTGTGAAAGTCCACAAAACATTCCAACTTTCATCTTTGGGAGGTCGGTCTGTCTGGCAGCCCTGGCCCTGTCCTGTTTTTGGTGGTGCCCTCAGGGATGCCTGGGGCCTCCCTGCCCTGTGGTCCACTCTCTGCTCAAGCCTCCTGGCTTACACCACGTGCGGAGTTCCTCATCAGACCGACCCCCACCTGGCCCACCACATTTAGGGTAGAGCACTGGCCTTGACGTCCACGGAGCAGGAGGTGAGCTGGGGTGTGAAATGACCTGTCAAAATAGAGCTGGGGTGGGTTGGGACACGCATATCATCGTCCCTTGCCAGGGGCTACCCTGTTTTGCTTCTGTTGGGGCTCCTGAAAGCATGGTGGATTTGGGGGGGTGGGAGGGTTGTGTCGATTATACCTCAGTAAACTGTTAAAAAATAAATCACAACAGAAAGCCCTCTTGGAAGCAAACCCAGAGAACTGGAAAACAACCACCAATGCTCCAAAACCCACCTAACAGAGAAGCATGCAGTTTTCACAAGGGGCTGGAGGGGCATCAGCTCCAGACAGTCTGGTGCAGCACCCTGAACACGATGCAGAGTGAGCTAGAGCAGCTGGGGCGGGGTGGGGGTGGGGGGTCCAGGGCTCAAGTCCCTGCCCAAACTGAAGCTGCTTTAAAACCGACCCTCCCCCTGGGGCCAGGGGCATTTGGGCCAGGCTTCCTCAGTGATGATTCATTTTTGCCAGGAGTGGGGGCTGGCTCTGTGCTGTGCCTGCAGCTGCCTGCCTCTGCCTGCACTCACTGGTCGCTGTTTTGGGTTGAGGCCTAGGGAGTCTCCCTTCATGGGCCTGAAGGCAGCAGCCCAGATACCGAGGGCAGAGCTTCCCTGGGTCAAACTCCTAGGCACCCAGATGACAATCCTCCACCAAGTGGTAAATCATGATTAAGCCTGCTTATTATCCAGAACTACTGAGTACTAGGCATCATAGGTATGTCATTTCCAATCTAATTGGCAAGCCTGTAGACCAGACTATAATACCCATTTCACAGAATAGGAAAATGAGGTTCAGATGGGTGAAGACCCTGGGCAAGGTCACATGGCTGGCTGGTGGTCTCCTCTCTCCAGTACAACCTCTTCCTGACCCACAGCAGCAGGATGGTTAGAGCCTGAACAAAAGACTGCCGGATATGCTCCCTCATCCCTTGAGGCCTGAGTATCTGGGCCAGGCATGGAGACCACAGGGTGGGCCAACCCTCTCTCAGTCTTAAGAAAGTCAAGGTTCTGATCCTGGGCTGTCTGGCTTCAGAGTCCAGCCCGTATTCACCCCTGTAGTCACCTCAGCTCCCTCAGGCTAGATGCCAAGGCTGAATGGGGGGGCAGTGAGACGGTCTATAAAGGCCACTCCTCAGCTCCCAACGACAGTCTCTGTTGCCAGATAGGGAATTGGGTGCAGAATGTTCAAGAGAGAGCTGGAGTATTACTGAAAGGCCACTGAACCCATCTGTGCTTGTCCTGGGTTTCCATCTTGTGCCTCATGGAATGGGGAAACTGAGGCCTAGAGAGAAAGAAGGAGAAGAAAGGCCTGACACAGGGTCCCCCGTGGGTGGGTGCCCCTCCTGTGAGCTGTGATGGGAACCAGAGCAGCCAGGTCCCTGGATAACAGCCCCCCTCCCCCCCCCGGAAGCTGTGTAATTCAGCTTCGTACTTGCCAGCATAGCTGACAGGGAACCCCCCTATTTAGCCAGGAAGCCTTTCATTCCTAGAATTCTCCTAGGAGGAGAATCCAAGTTGCCTCCAGGATTTTCCTCAATTCTCCCCTCTGACTTAAGTGCTGCACTTGCACTGTGAGACCCCCAACGCTGTAGATGCTTTCCTCACACCTCCAAGTCAATCCGATGAGCCACTGATCCTAAAAGTCAAGTTGCTTCAATGAATCAGTGGACATCTGGGAGCAGGGTGGACACGACTCTTCCTAACCCTGGGGAGCTGGGTGCTCCATCAACCGACTCCGTGTGTTGGACCCTCAGTCTCATCCCGACAAATTGGCAGAAACACACACATTGAAAGGCAGTTGTGTGTTGGGGCACCGGGTGGCTTAGTCACTTAAGGTCCGACTCTTGATTTCTGCTCAGGTCATGATCAAGACCCGCTAACAGTGGGGGCCTCCTTGGGATTCTCTCTCTCTCCCTCTGCCCCTCTCCCTCTCAAAATAAAGAAATAAGCTTAAAAAAAAAAAAAAAAAAAAGGCAGTTGTGGATTTCAGGTGAAGTCCCAGCACAGCCAAGTGCCTTCGCACTTAGTGGGTCCTGTCACTTGCTGTCTGTGTTCTCCCACTGTTTGACCTGCAGGTACCCAACGTTCCCCACAGTCCTAAGATTGCCAGTGACTACAAGGAGGGCTAATTGTTTGCTGGAGGCAGCGCCCAGCCCTTCGTGTTTTCAGAGTTCAGGGAAAAGCAATTGCAGCTCTTCCGCTCTGTGACTATCTTTGTTCTCTGAATATCCACTTCATAAATTCTTTAATATATGATCTCTGACTTACTGTTGAAGAAAAAGAAAAGAACACGGCTAGTGGTGGGATGCGATGATCAAATAAAGCAAGTCATTGTACTTCTGCTCCGGAAAAGTGCAAGCCGCGATACGATTTCGGGCTTCGGTAATGAAATGGAAATTCTTTTGAATCTAAAATAGCCTCAGAACCCAAACGCAAGCTTTCCTTCCCTACACGCCACGCGTCCTCAGAGTCTGAGAACCAGGAGATCAACCCACGGCGCTCCTCCTTCCCGGGCGTGCAGTCCCATGGAAGGGCGCGCGGGGGCAGCACGGCCGCCGCTGGCCGGCCGGCCGCCCAGCAGTTGACATTGCAAGACTAGGGGATTTTCCACGCTTGGTTCCCTGCTTCTCTTTCGTCTGGTCGCCCATTGTTGTTTCCGAAGGGGTGGAGGAGGGCAGCCGCTCCTGTCCTCAGAGCCTCCCTCGGGGATGGCCCCGATTCTCACGGCGGGGCGGAGAGAGGGGTTTTGTTCCGGGACAAACTTTTAAAGGGGACTTTGGATCGCAGCGGAATCGGCGTCGCCTGCCGTTAGACCCGCTGGAGGGGCCGGCCCACGGCCTCGAGCGGCCTGCGCTGACCCCAGTGGCTGGCCAAGGAGTAGTTGGGGAGGGGGCGCCAGGGCCCTGAGCGGAGCGACTCATGACCACTTTAGTTGAACCTTGGCACCCTCCTCTATGGAAGCCCATCTCTCCTGGGGTGTCCACACTTGACCCTTGGTGCCTCCTGCCTTTGCCCCCACTCTGTACCCTCTGCCCTGGTCTCCTTGCGAATCCTACCCACTTCAGGCCTCCTCCTCCAGGAAGCCCACCCCTTCCCACAGAAGACCTGTCCCTGTGACCAGGTGCCTGTCCTTCTGTAGTACCACTGAGTGCCAGCACCCTGGGCTCTGCGAGGTACCGGGTTCCCTCCACCCCAGCCCTGCACACAGGTCTGCCTGGTGTCTTCCAGGGTGGCTGTCTTGTGGGTTGAAGGACTCAGGCTTGAATAGGCCACCAGGACAACAGACAGGCCCGCTGCCCCCAAGTTCGCCTGACCTTCAGAAGTGCCTGGGCAGCCCAGCATTGGGGAGGGGCACCCTAGAGCAGCCATCTCTAATTGTCGGTGGCAGTCCTGAGCCTGGTGGCCTGCCTTGTTAGTGGGCAGTGGCTGGAGGGCAGAGCACAGCCAGAGACAGCAGGACCCTGCAGGTCCCATCCTTTCAGCTCCTCCTCCCTTGGTGTTGTCCCCTGCTGAATTTTAAGGCCTCCTTAAACCCTTTTGGAAAGAGAGTGAGAGTATAAATAGGTTAGTGAGAAGCTGAGCAATTCAGATGGAAATGACGTAGCCCTGGTCTTCTACCTGCCCCCAAGAGCAGAGCTTTATGACCCAGTTGTGGCCCTAGCGTGGCCCTTCCACAGCCCTTGCCCTGCTGGACCTGGATGACTGTCTGATCACTCACACTCAGCCCCGCCCTTTCTAGCTCCCAGGCCTGATAGGGGGTGGGTGGGTCGTGCAGGGGGCCTGCTTGCCTGCTGCCTGGTGGGGACTCCTTGTCCAGCAGTGGGACCCTGTTCTGCATCTCCCTCCCCACTTGGACCACAGAGAGGGCACTGAAGCCCCCCTTCCTCCTCAGCATGTCCCTGCTATTGGGGTTATTGACAGGGCAGTTCCTGAACCCTGCAGGGGCAGGTTCTGCCAGCTTGGCCGGGTGGATGGGCATAATGTTATCCCGAGGCCATTGCCCTCATTCTTACACTTGGAACTTCTCCCAAAGGGACACACCTTTAGAAATTCCAGAGCAAAGTCAGCCTGGCAAAGCCTGGGTCACAGGGAGGGGTGGGGTGAAAAATGAGAGGTGTGTCTACATAGAATCCAGCTCCCAGTGGGACCTCATCCCTGATTTATGCTATTGTATTTGCCGCCCAACCCAGCTGGGATGGATGGGCTGCCAGAGAGGGTGGTGGGGGCACTTTGGAAAGATGCACTGCTGGGAATATTCCCTGGGGGGTGGGGTAGGGGCCCTTCTGAGGGCTTAATGGTGGAGGCTGAGATAAGCCACCAGGACCTGCTGTCTCTGCCCCCAACCCTGGCTCCCTGAAGCCACATGGGGCGGGACATGGGGTGAGAGAGGATCTGTGCAGAGGCCCTGATGCTTTGCAAGGCTGAGGTGGGATGGGGGGGTGGGCGTCAGGTCCTTCCAGGCAGCTTCATCTCTGTTACTAGAGGGACCAGCTTGTGTCTCTTTCTCTGCCTCCTGCGCTCAGCTGGGCACACCCTCCCTCAGGAGGCCTGCCCCTAGCACCTGCTTCTGTCACACTCACCCTGTGGGTTCTTCCCGGTTGGGCTGCAAGATAGCAGCCTGCCCCCTCCTTTATCTGGCCTGTCTCTTTTTAACTCGATTCTTCTTGACTGTTATTAACAATTTGCTGTCCTGATAGATTCAAGTTCACATGACAAGTCAGTTGACTTTTTCTGACGGAAGCTGATTTCCTGGGCAGAGCCACATGGCCTTTGATGGCGTCTGGGCCCTGAGTATGTGCACAGAGGCACAGAGGCACAGAGGCAGGGGATACAGGCAGCTTTATGGAGAGCACCTGGGTTTCAGAGAGGTCGCTCATGTGGCCTGCCTGCTCCAGGGCACTGTGAGAAGGGGGCTATCTCTTCTGGAAACCAGGCCTTGGAAGGCACTGCCCTGTGTCCCCCAGTGCCAGCAGCTGTGAACCTGACTAGCCATGGCACTTTCTCCCAGCTCTGTAGTGACCACCTTTCTTTTTGCTCCAAATGGGAATGTTCTTGCTGTTCATTTCTCTCACTTTCCCTCTTTTTACCACCCTCCTTAAAGAGGAGCTTTTTGTGGGAATTAGACACTGGCCCAGCCAGGCCCTGGTAGTGCTCTGAGAAGCCAACGGGAGGAAGGAGCCTCTCCCTCTGGGCCACCACCAGGAGGGTGGTGGGCATACAGGGAGTCTGGCCCACGGCCACAGCTTTTGCTTCAGTCCCACTGCCCCCAGGAGTGGGGGAGGGGGCACGCTGTGGCACAGGGTGCACCAGGATGTCCACTGGCCGAAAGCCTGGGCTAGTGACAAGGCCTTGACATGGCTGTCCTGGAAAGAGCAGGTGTGCAGGAGGCATGCTTCTGGCAGAAGCAAAAGGGGGGCGGGGCTCACTCCCTGTGGGCAGTAGGGCTGGCGACCACAGCTCAGACCTGCCCACTGCCGGAGGTCAGCTCAGAGCCCCACGCTGTGTCTGTGACAAGACCCATCTATGCCAGTGGTGCTGTACAGACAGCCTCCTGGGCCAGGTCTCCTTTCATCAATTTGCGTGCACAGCAGCGCTGTGAGGGGGTCCTGTGGCCACCCCCTCCTTACAGATGAGGCTGCCAAGACTCAGGGAGGCCAAGTCACTCTCCAAGGCCACAGAACCAGCTGTGAGAGGAGGCAAGAGGTGAACAGAAGCCTCTGCTCCAGTGCTGAGGTCTGCCAGGCAGGTAAGGAGGGCTGGGGAAGAGAGGGCCTGTGACGCCTGCCTTCCATGTCCTGGCCCACCCTGGGGCTGGGCGATGGCCTCCTTATAGGTGTTTGGCCCCTGACTTTGGCTTTTGGGACACTGGGGATTGGGATACACCTTCTTCCCATCAGGCTGGTCCCTTGAGGCTCACCTGAGCTGGGAGCCCAAAGAGGACACTTGGCCTTAGCCATATAAAAAAAGTCAAGTGGGTGTTAGGAGCAAGGGACACTGTGTTCACACCCCAGCTCTGTCTACCTAGCTATGTGACCCAGGACAAATTACTTAACCTCTCTGAGCCTCGAATTCCTTGTCCATAAAAGGAGGATAATAATAGGACCCATTTTATAGGGTTGTAAGGATAAGTGAGCCTCATGTAAAGGGCTAGATCCTGCTGACCTGTGGTAAGCACTGTGTTAGTGTCAGTGTACTAAATAACAGCTGATCAGATGGCCCTGTGGGACAGGCCCCGTGCTGGTCTCTGTGCACTGATTTATTAGGTTCTCTCAGCTGCCCTGGGGGTATCATTCCCCCATTTCACAGATGCTGAGGCTGAGAAAATATGAGAGGCTTGGCCAAGGGTACTCTGTCTGAAGCCTGGCAAGAGTCTTGGCTGAAGGTTCTCTTCACTGTCTCATTTCTGGGCAGTCCAGACCTTGGGGACTCAGGACCCCGGTTCTCTCAGGTTCTCCCTGGGCTGGCCTGACTCTCCTTGGCCTGGCAGGGTTTGCAACTTCTGTGTTCCTACCTGGGACCCACCTGCTTGTGCCCTGAGACCCTAGCTCCCCTCACACAGTCTTCTTTACTTCTTTATTGGGACAGTAGTTCTTGAAATATGTTAATATACCTGTCTCATTTGCATTTCCTGGTCCTGACTCTCCCCTCTTCTGCTGGAGGCATCCATTTGCCTCGGGTGGTTTGGGCTTGCAAGAGTGAATATTCAGTTTCAGAATTTCACCGTAAGGCTTTCTGAGTTTGCACTTGGACAGTGGGCTTGAAAGGCAGACTTTGTTGAGAGACAAGGATTTTCTAAATCTTTCGTCTTCTAACGTTTTCAGGATGGAAGTGTGTGTTCTTGAATACAGAGGTGTCTGTAAGGGCCTCTCCGTCTGGAACCGCTGGGTGTGGTCTGCTATGCAGGGCAGCCTCTGCCAACAGGGGGAAACCTCAACAGGATAAAGTAAGGTGGGCTACGTGCTCAGGAGGCCTAGAGGCTCCTGATGCCTCAAGTGGGGAGGTGTAGAATCTGACTGAGACCTGGGCTGGGCAGGGTGGCTTCCCGAGGACCACTGGGAACAAGCTAGTCCTGTGACAGCTGGGACCAGGGGCTGCAGCAAGGCCTCTGCCTGTGCTTGCCCAGTAGGCTCGACCAGCCTTCCCATACCGGGCAGTGACTAACACACCCAGCAGCACCCGGCAGCTGGCTTGCAGCCTGTGAATCTCGCCTGCCCTCTTGCTCTGGTGTCTCTTGAAGAATTTTGAATTCTGAAACCAAATGTTTACTTGAACCAGGCAAGAGGGACCAGGGTGTCAGAGGAGAGGGTTTGAGGATCACTCTTGGTCAGAGATGCAAATGGAGGCACTTAGGGAATTTGCTTTAAAATGCCCTGTGGTGAGGGAGTTCACGCCTTGAGGCGTGATGGGCACGGGCTGCTAATTGTAGACGCTAGAGAAGAGCCGGTGCTTGTTCATTATGCTACCATCTCTACTGGGTGAATCTAAACTTCTCACAACCAAAAACTAAGAAATAAAACAAAGGCTTAACAATCACTGGATTGGAAGGGAGTGACCAGGTTTTGTCTGTTGCACACTGCGATGGTGCTCCAGCAGGTCAGAGCAGATGGAGAAATACAAAGCAATGGCTTAGCTTCTGGTCTGGACAAGGTGGTAGAGATGTGTGTCTCCATGCTCCTCGCTGTTGAGTATTGCTACAAACCTTGGAAATGGCACAGGAGACAAGGGAAGGAGGACTCTGGAGGGTGGAAGAGGAAGGCGAGCCTGTTGGAGCAGAGCTGCTCACAAGCCTTCCTGACAGGGACCAGGCCTGGTGCTCCCCAGCCCCCAAGCTAGCAACAGAAGGAGGCCTGCTGGGCTCATTCCTCACCCTGGAGGTAATGCTGAAAGCAGGTGAGCAAGAAAGGTCAGCCAGCAGGTCTGACGGACAAGAAGGACAAGAAGTGACTGGGGGAAGTGCTCTCTGTCCCTGCTGGGCCTGACAGTCTCCTCTCCTACCCAGAAACAATGGCAGCAGCAAGGGAACCCTACCACCACTAGTGTCCTAGTTTAGGGAGTTCCTTAACCCCTGTGGGATGGAGAATCCCACCACTACCTAGAGGCATCAGGTGGCTGGGCCTGGGCCAATCTCATCTGTCCCTTAAGCACCAGCAGGGACCAGTGGGAGCCCCAGCAGCGACCAGCATGAGCCCCAGCAGCACTAGATGAACTCAAATGGACCAAAAGAGTGCCATAAGCTCTGAAAATTATATTCTCATTGGAAACAGAGCACAAAAGTAGGCCTGCATGCTAACCCTAAACCAGCAACTGACTGCTAAAAGTAAACGTTTAACCATACACTCAGTGTCCAAACATTATAGTCGAGGAACGATAGAAAGTCACCCATTATACCAAGAACCAGGAAAATTGCAACTTGAATATGAAAAGAAAATTAATTAATGCCAACACAGGGATGAATCAGATGTTGGAATTATCTCACAAGGGTTTTAAAGTAGCTGTGATAAAAATGTTTCTACAAGTAATTACAAATTCTCTCGAAACAAATTAAAAAAATAGAAAATCTCAGCAAATAGGAGTTAAGTCATATCTGCAAAATACAATAATGGAAGTTTGAAAAAGTCCATTGGATGGGCTCAATAGTAGACTGGAGGTGACAGAGAACAGGAAATTGTGAACTTGACGGCAGAACAATAGAATTGACCCAATCTGAGTCATGTAGAGATAATAGATTGAAAACAAAACCAAAAACACAAACACAAAATCAAAGTCAAAGCCTCAGGGACCTGTGGAACAATAACAAAAAATTGAACGTTTGTGTCATATATCACTGGACTCCAGCTGGAGAAAAGAGAGAGGGACTGATGAAACCTACTATATTTGGCAAAATGCATAAACCTACACATTCAAGAAAATGAGCAAACCCCAAATATGATAAGTCCAAAGAAATTCATGTTGACACATCATAATTGAACTTGTGAAAATGAAAGACAAAGAAAAAATTCTTAATGGCAGTCAAAGAGAACCTTGTCTTCTTTTCTTTTGCTTCTTCCTGAGACCCATCTTTTAAAAACATTTCTGCTTATCAGAGAGAGGCAAACCAAGAAACATACTTTTAACTATAGAGAACAAACTGATAGTTACCAGAGAGGAGGTGGGTAGGGGGATGGGTGAACTGGCCATGGGGATTAAGGAGTGCACTTGTCATGATGAGTACTGACTAATATATAGAGTTGTTGAATCACTGTGTTGTACACCTGAAGCTAACAAAACACTGTATATTAATTATACTGAAATTAAAATATCCATTATCATTTTGGTGGGTCTTTTAATTTTGAAAACATTATTTCTAAGTTATGTAGATAATACATAGTGACTGCAAGAAAATTAAGCATGTTATTCATTAAAAGGATAAAAATTACTGCAATTCTATACAGATATACAAATGGCCCACAGACACATGAAAAGATGCTCAACATCACTCATCATCAGGGAAATTAAGTCAAACCATAATGAGATATCACCTCACACCAGTCAGAATGGCTGGTATCATAAAAATAAGAAATAACAAGTATTGGTGAGGATGTGGAGAAAGGGAACCATCGTGCACAAATGGTGGGAATGTAAATTGGTGCAACCACTATGGAAAACAGAATGGAGTTTCCTCAAAAAACTAAAAATACCATATGATACAGTAATTCTACTGCATTACTGTAATTACCCAAAGAAAATAAAAGCACTAATTTGAAAAGATGTATGCATTGCTATGTTTGTTGCTATGTTTATATACAATAGTCAAGATATGGAAGCAACCCCAGTGTCCATTGATAGATGAATGGATAAAGAAGTGGTATATACAAACATAAAGAAGAATGAGATCTTGCCATTTGCAGCCACATGGATGTTGGGTATTTTGCTAAGTGAAACAGGTCAAGCAGAGAAAGACAAACACCATATGATTTCTCTTGTGGAATCTAAACAAACAAAACAAACAAACCAGAAACAGACCCATGAATACAGAGAGGAAACTACTGGTTGCCAGACGTGAGGGGGGGGGGG